AGAATGAGAGTTTGTGACGAACATCTCTTCATTTTGATTGGTCGGTAAACCGAACCTAAGTGGGGGAGGATGTAACGGGGTACGTAGCACTAAGTGTACCCTGGTTACATGAAGTGTGACACTTCACACTTCAGGAGTATGACATGTCATACTCCGGGATATTTGGTACAAGGTACCAAGGTCATTCAAAACCAACCATTGGTTAAATGACATTGCATTACTATAGGTAACTGATAGTTTGTATTAACCTCAAACTTAACCTACCTATAAATATACTCAGTTTACAATCTACCTTATTTAGGTCACTTCGCTCTCTTTAATTAAAGAGGGGACCTGTGAACTGCCGTTCACTGAGAGTTTGTATACTCTCGGAAGATAACTTCCTCTAGCGCAAGGTGCTGTGTGACCCCGTCACAGTTACGACATTGTGAGCAAAATATAATTCGGAAAGCCAAAACTTACGACTTTCAGACTGCAACGCACATTTTTTTGTTAGCAACAGATCCTTCCTTGCCAATCCATAAAAATGTACGAATATCAAGTAAACGCAGTGCTACCTAATCCATTCATACGATTGCTGACTGTAGAACATCCTGGTCTACAAGCTCTTCCGCCTCATTATTAGCGTCGCCATCTTGACAAATCAGCTCTCGTCGCGTGGGCTTACGTGCACCCACCTTGCCTGAGCGCCGCAAGACGACGCGGTTCCCGAGGGATGCTGGGATGGAAACCTCACTCTCGAAGTCTTCATGCCAAATTTGGTAGCATGTCTTTCGTGCACCCCTGTAATTATGCCGCGACTTGGGGCACAGGGAGCACTTCGCACCAGGCTGTGAGCAGTCTCTACAGTAGTAATTGGTCTGAAATGGTTTCTTTCGCTTGCCGCGGAGAAGAGCGCAAACTTTACAGGAACGTTGACGGCATTTCTGGACGGCTGATACGATTACCCAGTCGTCAAACTGCACATGCACGTGACCAATTAGTCGGCGGCGCTTTCTGGCGCGCGCCACAGGAGAAGGAGTAGGGGTAGAGGCGTCGACATGGTCGTCTGCCGTGAGCTGCAGTAGTTGTTTGTGCAGGAGGATATACCAGTCTCCACGGTCTTTAGGTACGAGTCGCTTGAGCCGATACGTCTCCTTCTGTGTGAGGTATGCATTCACCAGTGCCATGTCTATCAAGCCCATGAACAGTGATTTGTAGTAATTCTGGAATCGGAACGCTGTCTGAATCGAATACGACTGGAGGCGGAATCGATCATGGACATCAACTCCGCTCATCCGTCGTTGATAGTCGGTAATGAGCTTCGGGCACTTAAATGCTGACGGTCCTACCATTTTGATGTTTTAATGGATTGAGTCTTCTACCATGGTGGGACCTAGTGTACTGGTTTCCTGTCCCACTAATGGCAGGCAATCACGGTCAGAATAGCATCTGACCGCGAGAACGCGAAGGATCCCCGTTCTATCGCACGCTGTCTCGTTTTGAGTTTCTCAATGACTTGCTTATCAAGCCCCAACCGGTTAATCATGATCGTCCCTAGCACGTAGACCGACATCGATAGAAGCTATATGGCCAGCGGTATCGAGGAATAGAAACGGTCGATTATAACCAATCGAAATCCCAGCGATGCCCCACTCAGAACAGCCTTCATGTTTCGTATCACTGCTGCTGCCCCCGTCTTGTTTTTGACCTTTTGTTGGTCCCTATCGTCTGTATCTCGCTTCCCGACGTACACCTCAAAGCTGTAGTCGCAAGTCACGACATGGAACAAATCAAATAAGAAATTAATGTCAAACGTTACGACTTATTATTTTCATTACAAACCGCACCGATGACAGTACGCACTCTTGGAATCGCACACCATGAACGATACGGCTCCGTAACGGTGGGGATTGTCAGGCATGAATATCCGTGTTGTGTTTTGCTTCAATGCCGACGGTAGAGCGCCTTCACCAACGGAGAACGTGCTACCAAGTGTCCAACCCGAGTGAAAACGAGACTGCAACACGTCCACATCCGGTCTCAACTTCCACATCTTATCGCGAACGCGCGGGGCCTCATTGTTCACGATGTGAAAGTTGCGAAGGATCGAAGTGCACCGGTTGTGATCCATGAACTTGCCAAAGTTACCGGCTAATAGTGCGCCATTATCGGCCATCGCCCAATGTCCTGAGAAACGCCGCGTCATCGGGCTCAGCATTCTTGTCACTAAACGTTCCATTACCTCTAAGATCGCATGCGTTTGGTTCGCAGGGTCGGCCCAAAGATGCCTTTCAATCTGCTTGATAGTCTCTATCGTCGCAGTATAACGCTGCCGTTGTTTTATTCGAATTCGTTTTGCTCTGGCGTGTGCAGTTTGTCGCTTGTAGCGGTTGGTCTCCTTCGTAATGCTAATCCACAGCGACTTTCGCAGATAATAGCAAAATAGGAGCATCGGCGAGTCTGCATAGCTTGGATCTCTGACCTAGGGGTAGCAAAATCAGTAGACAGATGTGCATATGCTTCACAACCACGTTCAAACTCGGACGAGGGTGCACTCCACGAGAATTTCCGAAGCACATTCTTGTCGATATCTTCAAGGGTAAGCTTTCCACCCATCACCTCCACAAAGCCATCGTCCATTAGGGCGACATCTGCGTCCGGTTCCAGTGAGTCGTCGGCATATTTGCGCCGCTCAATGACCTTATATACACTATTAGCGCTGTTGTCACTACCGCTCGCATCGATATCCTCATAGGCGTCCGACACTTCTCCATCCGCCATGATGGTCACGTCGTCCTCCGCTACGTCAACGCAGTCATCCGGAGCGTCCTCCAACTCTCATAATCATCCACACTGGCACCGTCGCTCGCGTTACCATTATCCGAGATGTCAGACTCGGCGCCCAGCAAGAGGCGCTGAAAGGCACCGACGACCAGCTCGTGATCTGCCTGGTCCAGACGATTCAACTGGGAACCGCTTTCCGATCCGAACATCGTTTGTATTGTGTTGGCTGATGGCGCAATGGATGTGTCGATCTGCGACGCCGTCACCGACTCGCTCGCTGGCAAGCTCTCATCGACACTTGCCTCTCCCCCACTCACGCTACTCTCTTCTCCAATAAGCCCCGACTCGATCGCAAACGTCACCACTGCATTCTCGCCTACAAACAACAATTTATTTCGATACCTGTGTTGTGCTTCGTTCATGCGTTACGTACCGACAAGCGAGATCCCGGTCGGTGACGTATACGTCCACTCCTTCACGAGTCCGGAGCCTGATGGCCTCTTCGCCACTCCACGGAGCTGTCGCCACAGATGCTTGAAGTCGACCGCTCGAACCATAAGCGTGTCTTGAACTACCGACTGCCTGATTATCGTACTGGATAGTACTCTTGCCATTGTGGCAAATTTTGGAATGAGACACCGCTGCTTCAAGTCGCCAGCCTCGACCACTCATCCAAGTGTCCGGACTGACCAGATTACTGCAGCACATCTACCCCTTCCCCCACCCTTTCTTTGGCATTTCCTTTTTGACCTCTTCTAGCTTATATTTTTTGGCAGCAAAAAAAACTTGATTTAAGTATCGTATCCACTTTGTTCGAGCCATTTTCTATCTTGGGATCCCAGTAACGTCGTAACTTACGACTTGTGCCCTCCTTGAAGTCGTAAGTTGCGATGTTGGTAACGGAGGAATTCAATAACTCATATGATTACGCAGAAGAGATCTCAGAAGCGGAAAATGAGTTCTTCTTTAAGCAGTACATCGAAACGGGCAAAGTAAAGCAGTTCAACGTAAAGAAAAATCCTTAGACCCCATGGATGTTATTGGAGCGTTTAGCGAATACGTTGCCAGCAATAACCCGGGTATTAAAGGACCGAAAATGATTAACAGCAATGCGTACTTTGGTTGATATCGGTATTGCTTTTACATTCAAAAAGGCAACAAACTGCTAGAACAACTATATTGTAAGAACGAACAGATGATGGTCAGCATCTGTGCGTCTGTCAATCCGGCAGCGTTAACCCCACCCTGCCGGGCGTTGCTCTTGTGCTAAAGCAAGTGCTGTTACCGCTGAGCTGAAACCTCAGCGGTTGCTGCACTTTGTAGCATTAGTGACAACGGGCCCCCCCTGGTTCATATGTATTTATGGTTTATCTATCCCAATAGATACTAGCATTGTTTTTTATATTAACTTGAGATTTGTCGCTTCTTAAGCAATCTTGGAGTCCATGAAATTACACATGGAATTGAACAGCTTTTCGGTATGGTCTTTTCTGTTTTTGCTCCATGATTGCTTTGTATGTTATATCAAATAAATTATTCCTCAAAGATGTCAATCTCAAGCGTCTTGTCGCTGCCAATAGATGTGAAAGCACCATGGAATATCCGCCCCCGACGGTCTTTAGGTCTGCTTAGCGGAGCTGTAGCGGGCTTTGCAGGAGGATTGGGTGCGTGATCGTATGAATGGTCTGGC